GCCGCGGGAGGACTGTCCCCGACAGGCTGTGAGCTGTTCGGCATCCGCAGTGCTGGTCTGCGAGCTGTGTGCTCATGACTAGCCGAGCGCTGGGCCGGCGATTGTCAGGCCTCCCTAATCTCTTCCTTCTGTCTCCACGGGCGAGCGTCTGCACGGCAGCTGAGGAAGCATGCCTGAACGGTTGCCTCATAGCCCTGCGGTGATTCCTGCTCGCAGCGTCTTGTGAAGGATGGCTGAGTCTTTTGGGACAGAAGTCCTGCGCTGGTTTCTCCCTGTGATGTGGGAGGCACTTGGCTTTTCTTGGCCCAGGTCTGCTCTGGGAAGAGCTTGAAGGACAAAGGCCTCTGAGGCCTCTTGCTGTCCCTGCTTTTCCATTGTTGGGTGAACAAATGTCTTATTCAAGCCCCAAGGTGCCTAGCACTTGTATGTACAACATACATCAGCCGTAAGTGCCTGTCACTGGCCCTGCTCGGGCTGCTAGGACAGGCAGGGCAAGCGCTGGCTCTCCCCAGAGCAAAGGCTGATAGAGTCCTGTGTGTCTGTCACACTGCGCTCTTCCTCCCCCAGATCTAACCCTGACTGACTTGCTCCTTGCGGTGTTCCAGCCGATGTGAGAGAGGAGATGCCTGATGTAATGCCTGACATGCGGGCCGCTTACCAAAGCATGGAACTGGGCAAGATCTGTGAACTCACCAGGGTTTTCCCTCCTCAGTTGCTTTGAGGTGTTGGACTGCAGCTCTGGGGGGTGGAAGGAGCATTTGCGTGGGCGCTGCTTGAAGTGTCTTAGACTTGAAGTATTGCCTCACTTCAGGTTGTGTCCAGGTGAAGTCTTAAACTTACCCGGGATCAGGTAATATAGTAACTTATTCCATGGGTCTCCATTTCTAGCAGCAGCCAGTGCCAAATACCTCCCCAGAGGGAGGAGGAGACGTGAAGATCTCCTGATGTTCTTGCCAGGTTACCTCTGTGATGACTCTTCAAGCCACTAGGCCTGGAGTTCTGGGGTTTGTCTCCGCTGTTGCGATGCTTGGGTAGGTCCAGGCACACTCTGCTGCTTGTTAAAGCAAGGATGTAAGCTCTGCATGTGGGGAAATACCTTGAAGTTGCATGTTAGTTGAACAGTAAACGTGAACTCTGTACTGCCTGGGTGTTTGTGAATTATTGAACTTCTCCTGAGGGTGCCCAAGCAAAGCTAGGACTTCCTAGTCCTGCTTCCCTGCAGCAGCAGTGTCTTACTTCCTTCAAAAGGTGCAGGGTTATTTGGGTTAAGTATCTTCCTACTCTGAGGAGAACTGCTGTGCATCTTGAGTGCAAAGCTTGCTGTGGAAACGTGTGCAGGGGCAAACTAATTTCTGGCTTGATGAGATAGGGATATTTTCTCAAAGGGTTTGAACACCATTATTGGGACAGAAATGCTTGGAATGCTGCGGTGTTCTGTACCAAATCTTCTCTCTACTCTCCAGCCCTGCACTCTGGTAGCTGCTGGATTTCTCCCAAGCAGGCTGCTGTCAGGGCACCGGGGAGGAATGTGTTTACCCTGAACATCAGCCAGGGTCTTGATGAGCAGAGCTCCTTGTAGCAAATGAAACGATGTTCCAGCCTCCACAGTGGAGGTAGGCAGCTGCTTGAACCTCCCCTTTGGTGTGTAGGACATTGTCTCTTTCAGAGGAGCAGAATGCCCTGAGAAACCAGGGCTTTCACCAGTGATCATGTCGTGGCCTTTCAGTTGCCAGTTTTTTGAATAAAAGCAACGGTCTACGAAAGTGATAATGCTTTTGATTTTCCCTCCTGCAATATCCTAACACTGAGAAAGGACAGGGTTTTGATTTGTGCTGACTTGTCTCTTGAATTCATGGCTCATTAGGGAGGTGTCTAGAGGCAGTATTGGGGAAAAATCTAAGCTTCCGTATTTTCCTGTATGTGTACTGTCCTCACCTCAGGCTAAAGAGACTGGTGGTGTCACTGCCCTGCACATTCCTGTGGAGAGAAATGTTGTCAGACTGAGCCTTTACCAAAAAAAGCTGCGGGAGACACAAGTCTGAGAGTACACCAAAGTTCTCAAACGATTTTTTTGCACGCTCACCCCTTCTTTGAACAGCAGACAGTGCTACTGGAACAATAATTCACTGTTGTGATCAATTGTGCTTCTACAAGACTAGTAACAGGCTTGGGTAAAGGCTTCTGAGACCCCCACAGATACCCCCTGTGTAGCGTGGAGAGCAAAGCTCCAGTGTTGGTGGGTGCTGCTAAACACGGGTGTGATGAGCGGCATGGGTGTGGAGGCCATAACCAGTAAGATTGCAGACTTGTCTTGTACAAGGATGATCTCGGGAGTCATGCCATGTATGTCTGACCATGGGGAGCCTCTGACTGTTGCTGCTATAACTACTAGTTTCTGAGGCTTAATCTGGTGTGTTCCTTTCGGTTGGATTTAATGTCTACCTTCAGGCTCCTTCCAGGGCAATGAACAGTGCTGAAGTCATCTTTGTAGCTCTCCTCTTACCTGCTGCTTTCTACGGTGGCTGTTGCGGACCTGGCAGTGCGCAGAGGCAGTGCACGCTTCCTCCAGGACTCTGGCTCCCTGGAAGTATAAGATAAATCAGAAGCAGTTAATCTACTTTAATTTTGGAATCTGCATTTCTTGAGCAGTGCCTGGCCTGAAGTAAGCTGAGCAGGAAGCTGGGCTGTCATCAGAACTTGTGCATCTGTATGGGCAGGAGGCTGGCTGGCTCTGCTGTGGGGCAAGCAGGCTGGTCCCCCCTGTGCCCATGTCAGGCTCCTGCCTGAGCGCCGGGCAGGTTTTTTGCTTCTTTGCTTTGGTTTCCCTTCCCCACAGCGGGCATTTCCCGGTCTTTGAAGCTGAAGCTGTGTGATGAGTGGGGGTAGGTCCCGTTTGCTGTGGAGGTGCTCGCTGTTCTAGTGACTGAGCAAATAGACAATACAGCACCTGAACCTGGTTTCCTCAAATACCTCTGAGCCCTTGTGCTGGTGAGCCTTTCTGCCCCAGCTGCATCATCCTGCCCTAAACTTCTCTACCCAAGGGATGGTGAGGCTGTGCCGTGTCCCATCCTGCGGGGCAGGGCAATGGGGATGGAGGGCTGCCGCCCCTAATGACTTTCACTGCTGCACTGGGCTGGCTCGTGTCACAAAGTGATATGTTTTGGTCCTTCCTTGGGGAAGGCTCTGTCCCGGTGAGCCCAAAGGCTGCATGATCACAGGAGAAACTTTCACCCTGGTGCTGTGGCCCCAAGACTGGGTGCTGTGCCTGAGCCGGGCAGGGGGGGGGCGGATTTTACGGTGCTGCACCAGGTCATGGGTGCTCAGAGCTGCTCCCAGCGCTCCTGGCAGAGTCCTGTGCCAGAGTGTGGAGGGCAGGGAGAGTGGCTGTACAACAGGGCTTACAAACTCGGAGGGGGAGGAACCAGAGGGCAGTTAATTTATAACTGGTGTGCTTTGTGTGGGCTGGGGTGTGCTGCTGCTGGCTCTGTGCTGAGGAGCTCGGCCAGCTCGCAGCTGCTTGCCGGCTGTTCTCCCAGCCCCCCGACATGGGCCAAGCAGCGAGCCTGCGGGTGCAGCCTGCCGAGGGGGGCTGAAGTGGAAGAGCTTGAGGGGAGGCTCTCTTATAGTGAGTGCTTTCTGAAGAGCCAGCAGGCAGGTTCCTTCCTCATCTGGCAAGGCTGCCAGTCAGGCTGTGGTGCTTCTCCGCATAAAGCTGATTACAGGTCCATTTTATAAATGAGATGGCTGGATTTCTGGCTTAACAGGGGTGTTTGGCTGGCGTAAGCCAGGTGTCTTACTCCTGCTTCTGAGTGTGTCTTGTGCATCCTGCTACATCCGAGGAGACTTTTTTTTTCCTTTTGCAAAAGGGGAGGGTGATCCCAGTTACTTCTGGGGTTTGGAGTAAACCCCGTTAGGCAGCAGAGGAGTGTGTGAGTGGTAGCAGGAGCTATCTGCCGCTCACTCTGTTCAGAGGGCAGCTCCTTTGACTCTTTGTGGAGTGCAGCCCAGGGAAGGCAGAGCAGGGAAATCTGCTGTGAAACAGCCTGGGAAACAAGGCTTTTGTTTCCCCTGTGAGCTGCTTGACTTCAGAACTTAGCTGGCCTCTCACTGTTGCTTTCTTCCAGGGGAGGCTCCATACTGCTGTGGAAATAAGGTTGCTTGTTCTTCCTCCTGACTGAAGGAGAGGTGCTTCCCTTTCCAGTTACTCTGCTCAGAGTCTGACATTGGATGAGACATTTGGCAGCACCAGTGGAAATCAGCTTGCTCACAATTTCGATGCAGGTGGCTAGTGTGGAGGTCCTCGGCCATCTTCAGCCAGCAGCCAACCTGAAGTGGGAAACCTAATGCAGGCTGCTTGCTGTGTTGTTGGTCTCCTCTGAGGTTAATGTTTTGTGAACTGGGTGTTAGTGCTGAGGTTCACCTGAGGCAGCTGAAGCTGAACAAGCACTGCTTCCTTGAAAGTGCCTCGTGGGCAGTGGGAATGGCCAGTGGCTGCTTCTCACCACGCTGTCTGGTGGAACAGTTCAGAGGCTCCTTGCTAGACTGCTCAACGTTTCACACCTGTCCCTTTGCTAAAGGCAGCTTCCCTTAAAAGCCTTCTCTAATTTTGCCTTTCAGATTGTCTGATCTCCAGCACTGACCAGCCATGCCATCAACTATGGAGGCCTCAGAGGGGGGAGAAGAAGGGGAAATCTTGCGCTATGAGGAAACAGAAGATGACAATGTCAGGTGAGTCCTGTCTCGCAACATGGCACAGGTACAGTCTTGGTCGAGGCGGGAGACCTTCGAGGTAAAGGAGTGATCTTTCTCCTCATCTGAAAAGGAGTAAGGGACTCCAGTAGGTGATTAATCAAATATATGTGCCGTAAAATCTGTTTAATCAAACTGTACTGGAAGGGATGGGAAGGAGCGATCTGGCTAAGGCTGACAACAAGCAGTTGTTTTTTTAGTCTCTACTATCAAACTCACATTTCAGAAACGCTTTGGCCATTTGTCAGTTGTGTTTGTGCCTTCCTGACCAAGGTGAGCCAGTTTTCCATGGCCTGCTGGGCAGTCTCATGTGACAGCAGCTTGTTTTGAAAGATGACTCTAGAGGTGAACTCTGCTCCAGTGAGCTGCCTCTCTTGCCTTTGCAGAATACCCACTGGTCTAGGCAAGAGTATTTTTCTTGGAGGTTAGTTTAAAAAACAAATTCACAGACATGCTCTAAAAGCCAAGGCTTCAAACTTGAGAAATGGGCAGGGTGACTAGGGTGCTTCCCAGAATACCTAGATAGGCTGGTTGACCTCTCTTTGAGTTGACAGGCTCAGTTTCGTGAGAAGTTAATGCTCCCCTGGCTCTCCCGGCACATCCAGGCCTTGTCTGGCCTGTTGGCTGCCGTGTTCAGCCACTCAGTGGATCTGGAATGCTCAAAGTCTGTCTCTTACAGCTAACGCGAGTGTGCTGTCTGTAGCAAACTAGTCTTAAAAACTAGTTTTTAAGTAAGGTGCACTTTGGCATAATTTTGAGTGAGTGTAGGTGTTGATAACTCTGTACCGAACTCCAGGTAGGAGTAACCTAAAATCATAGATTTTGGTTTTTTTTGGAAAGACAACTTGTAGCCCGCAAAAAGAGAATAAATAAATTTTTAAGGGTGTTCTTGCCCTGTTTTGCCATTCAGCTGTCACCTCTTCTCCAGCAGTTGATACCCAAGATGGAAAAGCTAGGGTCCTGCCTGTGTATGCATCTGCTCTTACCTGAGCCTTTCTCCTTCTCCAGAGTGACCACGGAACAGCGGGTACCACCAAGGCTCCTGTGCCCTTTAGCCTGCCCTGGTAGTTGCTCTTCATGTGCTCAAGGACTCTTTTTGTAGTATTGTTGGGGCTCACGTGGGTGAGAAGCAAAAGTAATGGTGCAGGGATCAGAGGATCCTTGGCAATTGCTTCAGCATCCTGGGTCTGAGCCCCTGGTAAGCCCCAACCCTCCCGGAATGGCAAAGTCTGGTTGGCACATGGACACCCACATCTGGACACCGCAGCCTCTGGCTGCTTCCTCCTGGTGGTGCCAGACTGTGGGGCTGGCCTGAGGGATCCCACCTTCTTCAAACTGGGCCTGAGATGGTAGGGAGTGGGGAGGTCCCATGGCAGGGACAAACTCATTACCGCATGTGGAAGTGGGGTGAAAGGTGCTCTCCCTGTTTGCCTGCAGTCCCACCGACCTTTCAGAGCTGCTGAAGGAGGGGACTAAGGAATCCCACGACCGTGCAGAGAACACTCAGTTTGTCAAAGACTTTCTGAAAGGGCGGATCAAGAAGGAGCTCTTCAAGGTGAGTGCTGCTCTGCTCCCATGGCAGAGAAGCTCTTTGACATACCCAGTGACTGACGCAGACCCTGAGGCAGAGCCTCACAGCCCTGTATGTAGGGGCGGGGAGGAATCCAGTTTGTGTGTATGTGGTGCAACTGAATAGTTGAAACTATGGGAGGACCCTTGTCCGTGTCTCCTGCCTGATGTATCCTACAACTGGGACCCAGCGGGGTGAGGACCACACTGGCCCAGCACAGATTTACGTAGGTGGAAGTGCTGGGCTTCCGGCCACACATCTGCTGGCTGCTCAAGGTAGATGTGCTGCAGCACAGATACTGGTGGCATAAGCTGTTTAGGAGTGAAATCCTGGTGGGATTACAGCACTTATTCCATCTCTGGAGACTAGGCTGTTTTCCACAGACTTCAGGTCAGATCGCTTTCTGGTTTGGGTCTGAGCAGCACTGTGTGATCCTGAAGATCTTGGCATATACAGTAGTCTCCTATAGCACAAGGCTGTTGGTGCTAGTTGTACCTTTTGGATGAAGTTAGTCCTTGCTCTCACAATGACAGGAGACCCAGAGCACGCAGCCGGCAATGTTAGACTAATTCTTAACATTGCCTGCAGAGCACAAGCTGTTATGAACACAGGTATAGAGTCACAGAATCATTTAAGTTGGAAAAGACCTTTAAGACCATCGAGTCCAACTGTTAACTGTAACGCTGCCAAGTCCACCACTAAACCATGTCCCTCAGTGCCATGTCTCCATGTCTTTTTAAATACCTCCAGGGGCGGTGACTCAGCCACTTCCCTGGGCACCCTGTTTTAATGCTTGACAACCCTTTGGGTGAAGAAATTTTTCCTAATGTCCAATCTAACCCTCCCCTGAAGAGAAGAACCTCTGATCCTTCCAATTTTACATTCTTGGTGCAGGCTCTCTGGGCTGGTTTTGTGTCAAGCCTCGGGGTTTCCTCGTTTACCCCAACTTCATCCTGGGGGGAGTAGTCACAAGGTGTGATGTGCTGATGTAGTGAACGGCTTCTCACATTAGTTCTGCTTTGCCCACAGCTGGCCACCGTGGCACTTTACTTCACGTACTCTGCTCTGGAAGAGGAAATGGATCGCAACAAGGACAACCCAGTCTTTGCTCCTCTGTATTTCCCCCTAGAGCTTCACCGGAGAGAAGCGTTGGTCAAAGACCTGAAATATTTCTATGGAGAAGACTGGAAGGAGAAGATCCAGTGTTCAGAGGCAACTCAGCACTATGTGGACAGAATCCATCATGTGGGACAGCACGAGCCAGAGCTGCTAGTGGCTCATGCTTACACACGCTACATGGGAGACCTCTCAGGTGGCCAAGTACTGAAGAAGGTAGCCCAGAGGGCTCTGAAGTTGCCCAGTACTGAGGAAGGGATCCAATTCTACATGTTTGACAACGTTTCCAATGCACAGCAGTTCAAGCAGCTCTACAGAGCAAGGATGAATGCTCTGGACTTGGACAGGAACACCAAGGAGAGGATCGTGGAAGAGGCCAACCGAGCCTTCAGATTCAACATGCAGGTACTAACTCCCTTGAGCCCCTGTATGTGTAGGTGCTGCTGCTTTCAGGTCTGGACCAACCTTTAGGTCCAGGTTAATTCAGTCAAACTGCTCATCCAGACAAAGTGGTTTGGGTCTGAGACCACCAGAACTTCTCCATCTGCTAGGGGTGGGATTCTGGTTTGAATAACTCTGCCAGTAGCTTCTGGAAACGTGGCTGGTGTTGGGTAGGAATTCCTCCCATGCTCCAACACCACAGCCAAGCCTTTGATTAGGGCAAAATTGAGATTACTTCCCTGCAGGATTCCCATGGGCTGTGTGGCTCTGAAGCAGCAGGGAGAGCAGAGCTCTCGCTCTAAGACAGCCTCAAACTGTTTGAGCATATTGCACCACACTGGTCACAATTCATCTCCTGTCTCACATCTGACATGTTGCCTGATGGCCAAAAACTTCTGTATGGCTCTTGTTTCTTCCCATAGTATTTGCGTTTTATAAAACCTGACTGAGCTGCCACCCTGCCCCAGGGGAACAAACATAGTCTTAGCTCCTGTGGGGAAGCTTTAATCTGTGCCTATAGCAGGTCGTTGTGGTTTAAGCCGGTCAGAACCGCGGTGGGATGTGGTTGGCTCCTTTTTCATGATCCTTAACGGAAACCCCTGGCAGTAGAGCTGGAGGGGCAGCCTGACCACGGCACAGAGGAGCAGTGATTCCCAGAGAGGGTCTGCAGCAGGGAGGGGGGAGTGTGTTGCCTCGTGCTCCGACCCGCAGCAAGCTGGAAGGTGAATGGCAGAGTGATGCTGCTGTCTCACTCCTTGTGTCTGACCTGATGCTCCCGGATTGGGCTGTGCCTTCTCAGAGCCATAGCGTGTGCCAGATGTCCCCGCAGGTCTGCCTGCAAGGTGCTCTGAAATGAGTAGCAAATGCTGTCTTTGGGAGCAGCGAGGCAGGAGTGGCTCTTGCCTGTTCCCCAGATTGCTGGAGGGGTCCAGGTGAAAGCTGCCTGGTTCAGCCTGCTTCATCCACTCGCCGTCACCTCCTGCAGGTATTTGATGAACTGGACAAGACTGGCAGGTCGCTGACAGAAGAAGCCCAGGACGGCAGCTTTCCGCTCCACGATGGAAAAGGAGACCTACGCAAATGCCCTTACTATGCAGACAAGCTAGGTAGGTCATGGGCAACCACCGAGCTGCCACGCGCATACAGCACAAGACTTGCAGCGCTAACGGTGCTTTCTGTGTTCTAGCAGGCAAGGCAGGACCCGGCTGCCCCTGTCACGCTGCCGTGGCCTTGGCAAAGCAGCCCCTAGTGCAGCTGATCCTGGCGGCCTGCATCGCTGTGGCAGCAGGAGCTGCGGCGTGGTACATCATGTGATGGGCAGAGCGGCGCGTGGCTCTGAACGGCGGCAAGGGGAGAGGCGTGCCCCGTCCTTCCTCCACTTGTTCCCTTGCTGTTGGTGGTGAGTTGACTGCAGGGTGGAAGTAAGAGAATAAACAGGAATCCTCCTGCGGGACTGTCAAAGACTCTTTGCACGCCAGGGATGCAAGCACTGCAATAGAACGCCTTTAGCTGACTAGTGTATAGGACTGATGCGGTGTGAGGATTCGAGGTCAGCGCTGCCCTACCCAGGTTGGGGCAGCTTTAAGGCTAGAGGTGTCCTGTCCTGTACTGGCAAAGGCTTCACCCGCTTGGCTTTTCATCCTATTCCTGGGAGCGGTTGCTGGAGGGACTTTCCTGCCCTGGGCTGGCACCCGAGAACGCGTCATCAGTCTTTTCAGTGAAGAGCACTTGCTTTCCTACCCTGAGAAAGGGACGCTTCAGTCGTGCTGCACGGGCTGTGCTCTGGGGCCCGTAGCTCAGAGGCGCGTCCTGTGTGGTGCAGTGGCCCTGTTAGGAAGGTCCCTGCACATGGGGACAGGCCTGTGTGTGTGGGGGGGGGCATGAAGGTGACAAATGGCTACTGTGCAACACTGGGGCTCTGGGTTGGGGTGGGTTTTTTGGGGGTTTTTTGTTTTCCTGAAGCCTTGACTGGAATAAAAAGTTGCAATGCTGCCACTGGGGAAAGCCAAAAGCACATCACTGGGAGGAGTGAACTGTGCCAGGAGGTAGGTCTGCGGGGGGCTGTGGATGGCAGGGGAGGAGGTTGATGGGGAGAAGCAGTGTGGGTAACGGCTCCCATGCCGTTGTACGTATCTCTGAGCCATGCACTGCCCTTACACCCCCCCGTCCCTGCTGCCTCCCCTAGGGTTTCCCCCAGCTCCTTGGGGGGAGGGGACCCACGGCCTCTACTCAAAGGGGCAACGCTGTGAGGGCCTGGGGCTCCCTGCTGGTGAGGGGCTCCTGCTCTGTTGGGGGCAGTGCTTCCCTGCAGGCTGGCCCTGGGCTCGCTGACATGGGTGCCCTTCTGCCTCCCTCCAGCCCAGGCCTGCGGGGCGCCTCCCCTAGGGTTTCCCCCAGCTCCTTGGGGGGAGGGGACCCACGGCCTCTACTCAAAGGGGCAACGCTGTGAGGGCCTGGGGCTCCCTGCTGGTGAGGGGCTCCTGCTCTGTTGGGGGCAGTGCTTCCCTGCAGGCTGGCCCTGGGCTCGCTGACATGGGTGCCCTTCTGCCTCCCTCCAGCCCAGGCCTGCGGGGCTCTTCGCCTTGCCCCTTGCTCCCCGGGTCCTGGTGCTCTGCTGGGCCTCAGGCAGGCCCTGGGCTCACTGACATGGGTGCCCCTCTGCCTCCCTCCAGCCCAGGCCTGCAGGGCTCTTCTTCGCCTCTTCTTGTGCTTGGGCACGAGGGGAGGGGGGCCCTGAGGAGCAGAGCTGGGGAAGCCCCAGCTGCAGCTGTGGGCAGGGCAGGGCAAGCTCCTGCTCTTCCTCCAGTGCTCCAGTTCCACCCCTGCCCTCCCTCCTCGTCCTCAGCACCCCTGGGTTTGGAACAGGGGGTGAAGAAAAGATACACACGGGGTTCAGGGTCTGTTATTTATTTACATAAAAACACTGACTGGTTCCACCTCTGAGCAAAGGGCCTGTGCAGGCCAGGCTGTGGCTGCAGACCTGCGTACCGAGAGGCCCCCCTGCTCTGGGGGCTTCACGCTCCAGCTGCAGGGGCTGAGGCCCCAGGGAGGGTGAAAATGGCTCCCAGGCCCTCTTGCCCTCATCAGCCATCAGGCTGCTGGCAGCTGCTCGACCCCTTCCCTCTGCCCCATATCAAGTGAGCTAAAAATAAACCCTGACACCCACATGCAACGAGGAACCCTGCAAGGTGTGGCCGTGGTGGTGGCAGGATGGGTGCTATAGGGAGAGCACCCACAGACCCCCACGGGGCTGGGGATGTGGCTCTGCAGTGGGGGGGCAGGGGTCTGCTCCAGTGCTGGGAGCCCACTGCAGCCTGGTCACACACTCCTCTAATCTACAGCGCCAGGGCAGGTAGGGACATGCCAGCTGCATTTTCAGCTTTGCTGGGGGGGTGAGGAA